GGGATGAGAAGCCAACAATGGGTTTCATATATGAAGATATAGATAGAGTAAAGTTGGCAATTCAAAGAGATTGTCGCTACTACACCGACTATTGGAAAATTATTGATACTCGATGGTCTTTTCAATTGCATCAAGATTTGCATGCGGCTGGTAAGTGTTACGATTTCAATTATAAAATGTATATTTATTTACAATTATTAATTGTCTTCTTATTTTTTAAGGATATTTTTTAAATCCTCAATTCCAATATGGTGTTACGTCATCCAATGAAATGATAAGAGAAGTGATGGATGGGCTTAAAAAAGTAATTACCAGATTGGAGCCTAATATGGATGCTCAAGTGAAAGCAACAAATCAAGTACGTACCAATTATTTAAATTTTAATAGTAATAATCTACTTTTGCAAATGTTACTTGTAATGATTGTCCAAATTGTAGTTGTTGCTGTTTCGAGATAAACAGGAAACTTTTGGCACTCCTTTAGCACAAAGAGCATGGAAACAGTCAAATTCAGGTTTTATTTTCAAAATTACAAATTTACAATATATAAATACTTAAATAATTTTTTATCATATTTTGACTTATGTCTAATGTAATGTAATTTTGTGCAGCTGAGTGGTAGATTATTCATGGTAGTTGTGCTCCTGAACTTAAATAAATAGCTGTGAAAGTATTAAGTCAAACCACCACATCATCTCATTGTGAACATAATTTGAGTACTTTTAGTCTCATCCATACGAAGACGAGGAATAGATTGAAATATAAGAAAATCCAAAGATTAGTCTTCATCACCTACAATATGAGATTAAAATTGAGACACGTTAAAAGAAGCAGCCAAGAGGAGATTGATAGGAGTTTTAATCCTATTAACTTGGATTATATATTTGAAGAAGATGATCCAATAAGTCCATGGATAGAAGAAAGGGAAAATCCTTTGCTAGATGGTGTGGATAATTCTAAATGGCTAGATTTGGTCTCAGATGATGATGGTGGTGGCGGCAACGACAGCAATGGCGATGGCAGCGATGGAAACGATGGTGGTGGCACCCATAGATATCAAGCTCGACGCACTTCTCAAAGCTCAACTCCTACTCCAACTCAAAGTGATAATAGTGGTGGTTTAACACCATCTGATGGAGGAGGTGATGATGGTGATGGTGAAGGCACTTCTCACGGTGACGGTGGTGGTGGTGGTGGTGGCAGCGACAATGGCGGTGATGGCAGTGATGGTACTAGTTTTGGTGCAGGAAGTGAAGATTTTATTAGAGGATTTGGATTATGTGATGTTGGGGAACATTATGATATTGGAGAACCTGTTGCACCTTTACCCCAACTACCTAGGAGGTTTCGTGGTAGTGATACACGTAGGGATGAAAGAAGAATAAGAAGTAGAGAACAACAGCTTGATTCATCTGATAGTAGTCATAGCTATCCATATCATCCTTACGCATCCTATAGCAGTGATAGCCAGAGCTATCCTTACCCATCTCAACAAAATTATCCTTGGCCCCCTCAACAACATGGTCCTCCAGGATACAGTTTGCCAAATTATCAACAAGCCCAACAAGAGTATGTTGATCCTTTTCAGCCAAGGTATCCATTTTCTCTCCCAATGCACGAAACAGAAAGGGATGAAATGATGAGCACATTTACTTATATATTTCCTACTGGATGGGGTGAAGGTAGTAATAATCAAGCTCAACAATCTGATTCCCAAGATGCACCACGTCACTCATTTTGGTGGGGTGAAGGTAGCAGCAACAATCAAGCTCAACAATCTGAATCCCAAGATGCACCACGTCACTCATTTTGGTGGTGACATTATGTAATTTTAGTAGTAACATTATGTAAAATGTACTCTCTATTATTTGTGATTTATGCTATGATGTTATGTACTTTGTCAAGTTCTTCCATTAAGAGTGTATACTTTTTTAAAACTATTTGAGTTAAAATGCACAGATGCTTCCACAAGTATAATAATTAAAAATAATTTTATACATCTAAGTCCAATAAAAGAAATTTTTGCCACAAGTGTAACATGGATTTATGACATATAAAGTTATTAATTATTGAAATAAAATGAATTTTTTTTTATTTTATAGTGATTTAAAAATATGAAATATATTGCATCATACTTAAAAATTATGAAAAAATTATCTAAATTTATTTTAAAACCCAATAAACATGATTCTAAAAAAAAAATATGCGTATCGGTAAGTTTTTTGCAAATTGTGCGAAAAATAAAAAAATTCACAGTTCCGATAACCGCAACCGTTACGCTGCGGCCTTTACACCCCGCAACCGCAACCGCGCCACCGCCACTGTTACGGCGACCGCAACCGCTTTTCAGAACCTTGATTGTATTCAAGTTTACTTGCTTATTTATTTATTGATATTTAATCTTACTATTATTATATTCTCTTGTTAATTCTTACTTTCTATATAGTTATAGGGGACCTGCATGAAATAATTAAGATACATCAATTTGATAAATTTTATTATTTAACTCACTATGCTCTTCTTATCGAAAAACTTAACAAAGTATTAAAAAAATATTCTTATATTTATACTTGAAATTATATTATATTATATTACTATGCAAGAAATGTTACAATTCTAATTTCATAAAACAAGTAAACATGATTTGGAGTATCTGATATTTCAAAATTAAGTATCCAATACTCCAAAATTAATGAAAAAATAATTAAGAAGTATCCGATACTTTTAAAAAGTATCCGATACGTATCCGCGAGTATCTAAGGAGTATCGGTATCCGATACGGATACGTCATTCTATTTGAAGTATCCGTGCTTCATAGGACTTGGACAAAAAACATGATAAGATAGTAGTATTTATTAAACCAAACCAAACTAAGTTTTGTGTCCCAAAGAAATGCAAACCTTTGAGGAAGCACTCAAAAAGTCCCACACTTCGTGTTGTTCAGCAACATTAGCTATTGACAGCAGATCCTGCGAAATGCAGCATAATCAAAATAACAAGAATATGGAGAGGAACATTTATAGGGGATTTGCAGATGAGGGATAAATTATACTCTCAGATATTTGTCCAGCTGAATGCAGCGCTGATGAACAAAAGTATCCTCAGTGCTAGAGGAAAATATCCTTTTGGGAGGCAAATGTAATGTATAATTAGGAATGTCCTTATGGTGACGATGTAGTCTCTCAAAATTCCTATATCTGCTGACAAAATATCAAAAAAATAAGAAGAAAAAAAAAACTCTGAATGTATAGTGGATTTGGAATGACCAATGCTGATCTAAAAGCTTCAAGAACTTCCTTCATGAAATAAAGGATAAAAACAACTTTAATTAGCATTAGGGCCAAGGACTATAGAAACATGTGCATGTGCATGAATAGCCTAGTAATTTGTTCGTATTAATGATTGAGATAAGAACAAGACCTTTTCACAAACCATGTGTTTTCATCTGCATCTGTCACTGTAATTGAGTAAACTGCAAATGAATTTGACCCAAGTTTCTCAAAGTATGTTCCTATAACCTGTAGACATTACATAGCATCAGAAGCTGGTGATGCAATTCAAAAAAGAAGAATCAAACTGGATTCAAGTCAAGTGTGACAACCATAAACGATACAAATCCAGGCAAGGATGACAACTATATACAAAGGCATATAAAAATGCCCTTTAAATCCTGCATTTATATGGGTTCTCTTTACAGTACTGGCCAACATGTTTGTAAACCTGGCAACATTTCCTTGAAAATTAAAAGAAGAAAATGGAAGAGGGAAAGTTTACCCGGCACCGAAGCTTGGGAGTGTGGACTCCTTCATTGCGTAACACCATATCTGAAACACTCTCAGCATTACGAATATCATTATGCCTTCCAAAATCTGGGCCATAGAACTCTGAAATAACGGACACACCACCCTCACTTGGGAATGCTTTTTCCATACTAGATTGAATATTTGAAGCAGAAGTGCTGTTTGATCTCTTAAGTACACCTTTATTCCCAATGTCAGTAAGAGAAGTGGTAGCCTTCAATTCATCAACAAGAGGTGTTCCCCAAAAGATTGTTGCTTGTTTAGACCATGAGATAAATGCACCACATTGTTCTTCCCATCACTTAGTCGAGTCTCTATATGCAATCCTGATGATAACTGCACTAGAGTTTTATCTTCTGTTGTAGAAGAAATTACAGACCTGTGGGTTGACATATCCTTCCCCGAATTTTTCGTAGGTTCAGCATTGTTACTTGCTGAACCCTTGGCAGCAGGAGCCTGAAGTCCTCCTGCAGAAACCTTCTTAACTTTCTTTTTATAATTCCTTCCTTTAGTCCACATGTTTTCAAGATTTTCTGGCGTCAGAACCTCCGTTCTCCTTTGGGTTGCTGCCTCCAATATCCGTGCCCAGTCAGCAGGGCGCGACTGCGTAGGTTCTTCACCAAATAAACGAGAGTACAAATTTTCTGAAGCATCCAGGGGAATCTCTTTCTGATTGTCAGATCTTGACATCATCAGGTCAGTCCCTTGATTGTTGGAAGATGAATTCTTCCTAGGAGTAAATTCATTTTGTATGGCATCTGCAGCAACAGCATGACCACTGGTATGACCCACTACATTAGGTGACTGGTTGTCCCCTGCTTTGCTCACTTAATCTTTAATAGCAAGCAAAATACACTCAATCAACTCATTAACATACCTGGAGAGAAGTAATTGTTAGGTCAAAATAGTTGATTTCTCACATTTAGGGAAAAGGTAAATAATTAATGTAATGCATATATAGACTAAAAACAGTTGCATTTACACAACCTCACATAGGTGAAAAAAATAATGTGAAATTAAAGCATGAATGCCTCTGCCAAGATCATCAGAACTTATCCAGAAGTTGTATAAAGAAAAGAGTACTACAGAGAGATTAATTACAGCTAGAAGGGCAGCAACCACAGTCCCCTCACCCCATACATCTAGGTCCACTTCTACACATTTGGGACCAATTAGAGGAAGGGAATTTGTTGACGGAGCCTCTTTGACTGTGGGAATGGCAACCCCCATTTGAAAAACAATAAGGAATGCTGCAAATTTCAATTACAGAGGAACAAACAAGAAGAATACATTTGAGAGTCCCATGCAGAGGAAAGGGAGCTGTTGATGAAGCCCTTTTGGCTGTGAAAGTAGCCCCTAAATGCCAATACAGACTGAAAACAGAACAGGCAACAAGAATACATTTGCCATGAGGGATGCTAGGAAGTACATATATGTGGTCAAAGATATGAGTTACAATAAAAGGGTCACAATATTACAGTTCACAAACATAACTTTGGCTACTTTTTGCTTATTTGGTAATTTTGACCGAAAAGGGGGAAACAATCTAGACATTCCAGACATTTACAAATCCCTTTTTGAAACGAAGCATTTCTAAGCTTTCATTCCCACCAAAATTCAGATGGTCCTACTTTTACTAATCACTGTGCTCAAAACGGTACGTATAATTCTATCCCAACAACAGGAAAAAAAAAAATTCTTTCTTGGATTTCCCTCAAGCCAGAGACTATTCGATGGTTTCCATCATGATCAACTTGGTATTAGGAATTATGTAAAATCATGAATGCCACATAGTTTCTTGCTTCGAGCTTTAAAAGATAGGAAGGTGAATGCAGCAGGGATAAGATATCTTCTTTGTGGTTCTGAGGAAGTAAAGGACAAAAATATTTCAATTTCTTACTAAAATCAATTAGTAGAATATTGTTAAGTGTATTGACAGTGTCTTATAGGGCATTGCAGTTTCACTCACTAAAGCAAACCATTCAAAATTTCTTTTCAGGGTCAAATGATCGAATTCCCCATTCAACAAATGAACATCCAAGTCCTCAACCAAATGGCTGTTCCTTCCATTTAGGATTATGTTGGAAACTTGGAAATAGCTTGCCCTTGTTAAATATTGCTATTTTTAGGGTTGCTTCTTGTAACTAGTACCTCGACCCTATTTTTATCACAACAGGTACATTCTTAGAGTAAGAATGTTAGATTTGCATAACCATATGCCTGATGTACCACAATATAAAATAAGATTTTTTTTTTTTTAACAATATGATTTTCCAGTAATGAATTATTAAGTGACCTAATTGCAGAAGTAGAGAACTCATGACCCTTTCCCAAATATTTCTATTTGTTTCATAAACCTAAATTACAATTGACTGAGTACAACAATTTATTTATTTTTTAATACATCACGCTAGCAAATTGTTTCTACATCAAAAAAACTTGGGAGACTAACATTTTTATTTAAGAAGAGAAAAATAATAACCTTAAAGGCACCAAAAGAGGGGAGCAACCTACCTGTGTTTCTTATGTAAACATGAGATATTCGAAGCAGAAACAAGGAGAAGATATAAGAATTTTTCACAGCTATAAGATTTTTCGTTTTCACATTTTAGTCTTACAAATTAGACCATGTACGGTATAAAACATTCAGAGGAATATATACTTATGAGCAACAGGGTAGCCATAAAACACTGCATGAAAAAACAAATTAAGTCCTAAAAGAACTCACCAAGGGCTTGCAAAATCCATAATAGGTAGCATTACCAAGCAAGTTACAAGCTCTCGAGCAAGGCACCGAACCAGGGGACATTGAGCTTCTTGTGGCCTCAGCAATACAGCTAACAACCCACCTATAATTTGCTTAAGAACCTGTAGCAAATAAAAGCATCAGAAGGCATGCTAACAATAAAATCAATAAGTAGAAATTTTTCATAAGAACACTCACACCTTGTACTCACACTCGGGAGAAATCAATGCAGGGTGAAGCTCCTTTGAATCAATAAGATGATGTTTCAATCGTTCATCCCTTTCTTCTGATGACAGTGTTCCCATTACATCCACACCAATAGCAGCTTGGTTTCTTCTCAAAAGATCTATGTGATCCCCTACTAAGTCAACTATATCCCTGATACATATGACAAACAAATGCTTTTGTTATTCAGTTACAAAATGGTGCACGACAAGGAGGACACTTCTGAGACCCCAAAAAAATATGGCAACTTCTTTGAAAATATACCTTGTTACCAAATCAACGAGGTTTATCTCTTTGACCCTTCCAGATACTTCACCAAGGGCATCCATGATTACAGCACGGATGAGCTCAGGGACCTCCTTGTCAGGTGTTATTTCTGAATACCACAAATCTGAAACAAAATCCTGCAAAATCTTATTAACAAACTCCTCTATTGCAGCCTCTACAACTGGAGAGTCAATTTTTCTCTTCCATTTTGGTGGTGGCAGCGTTGTTGAAAGACGAGAATCATTCACGGTCTTTTCTAAATGTGATAAATATGTCTGCTGATAAATTTTCCTCACTTTCCAATGGAATTCCTCCTCATTAAATAAAATTCGTAATGCAGAAACAAATAGTATTGATATGGGAATATTCATCCACATTGATTTACTCGTGTCTGCAATGAACAACAAAAGTTTAGGGACAGAATCCAGTACATAGTAGTGGAGTAAATGGGGCAGAGGGCACAATGTAAAATTTAAGAACATTCTTGTTCAAACATAAACCAACAGCAGACGAAAAGCATCCCACAAAATATTATAATTGAATCTGTTGGGATGGTCCACCTATGTAGACAAGATAGAATAGTACCAAATCCCACGTCGTCTAGTTAAATATGTACCAAGTGACTTATAAATGTACAATGCGTTTTAAAATCATTGTGAGCCTAGTCCGAAGTGGACTATATTATACAGTAGGGGGTCGGGACATAGATAGTGATACCAAGAGCTTCCGTTGCTTGGGAAACAAGTGGTATCCAAGCCAGGGCATACAATCCTGAGCCAGTAGGCAAAGCAGTGTGGGTGCAGATTCTCCTTTGATTGATAAGATGGGTAAAAATTGCTTGTGAAGGCGATCTTATGTGCAAAAGTAGCAAACTTTGTGGCACACCCATGGTGAGGGCAGCTCGGTGAAGAGAGTGCAAGCCATACCAAGATGAATATGGTGAACTACTTTGAGGGGCACCCCGGGCTAGGGGGTGTAGGCACCTCAGTGAAAGAGGTGCTGCGAGCCATACCGGGTTGTGTATGCTGCATTGACGAGTGATGAAGATCAACACTTCATCATCATTGGAGAATTTATAAATTATTGAGTAGCAGACTCAGCAATCCACCCTACATGTACGGAAGGAGGTGATTGTTGGGATGGTCCTTCCATATAAAAGAGTACCAAGTCTCACATTGCCTAGGTAAGTACGTGTCAAATAACTTATAAGTGTGCGCTCAATATGGTTTAAAGCCGTGCAGGCCTAACCCAAACTGTCGAAAGCAAGCAAGTAGACAATATTGTACAATGCGGGGGGTCAGGCCACATCTAGCTGTATCAAGAGCTTCCACTACACACACATCACATAATCAACAATTTAAAACACATCTCACCTACATAGGTTACACATCTCACCTACATTTTGGTTGATTTTACAAGCAAATAAATCAGAAGATTGAATTTTCCATTTGAGACCAGAAAAAACAATTGACTGCACTACCTACTTTCCTTAGTTAAGATGAGTTTTTCCTATTATCATCAGCACATATCGCCTTCGTGCCAATTCACGCAAAAAAAAATAAAAATATATATATATATAAAACCTACGCAATTCAATATTAATTCAAAATTTGCAACATCAAACCCTAACTGAGATTAAATTAATATCGCATAATACATCAGAATGCAAATTCAACATTTTCTGAATCCAGAAACCAAAAAAATCACGTTCAATTTTAAACATTAATCTTTAAGAGAAACAGCAATTTCGTTGGTGTTGAAAAGCGTGGATAGTTGAATCGAAATTGAAGAACTTACGAGTCAGAAAGTAAGATACTGCAAAGATACAAAGTGCCCAATACACCGTTCGAAGCTTAGCTTCTTCGATCAGATCTTGCAAGGCCTCCGTCGCCTTTATTGTCTCAACAACCTCCAATTTCGTCTCAATTGATCTAAAAACCACCAAACGGGCACGAATTGAATCAAATTCCAATCTTTCAACACCAGAACGTAATCGATCAACGACGAGAGATTGATAACGACAAACTCTCATGGAAATCATTGAGGCGTTATGGTGAAATCGGTTTCGAAGCAATCACGAGACTGTGTAATGATTCGTTTGTTCTTCTTTCTCTCTGAGGCTGAGCCTGAGCGAGCCAGCCTGAGCCTGAGCCTGAGCCCTTTTTCCTGTTTCTTTTTTTTTTTGGGAAACTGACCGAAGGTCTAAGCCAAACATATCTGGCACCATTTAGCCCAAAACAAATTTGATATTCCATTAAAATCAGATCAAAATACTCATAATATATCATCTAATTTATACGTCCGTAATCATTACCTACAATCATCTCAGTCTGATCATTACATTGTCATATTTTCGCCGCTCGAGATCGCATTCTCAGTCCTCTATCTCTCCTCCGTTCGATTCCATTCCCTCTGAAACCCTATCCTAATCACAAAACGAAACCGTTCATCTTCAACACAACACCAAGTCGTTCATATTCTCCAATCGGCGACTCTCAACAACACGAAGAAACATCACCACTCTGAAGAAATTTCATAGTACCTGATTTCGATTCACATAAATGAGGAAAAAAAGTAACATCTCTCTTCACCTATCCATTATTTTACATTCAAAATTTGTACATTATTCTTTCATATTTCGTATATACTGTTTCAATAACACTTTCATAAAAAAATCCTTGTAAAACACATTTTACATACTTCAAAATGTATAAACCCTCTTTTACATATAATCCCCTGTTTTAAAACATTCTAGTCCCCTGTTTTTAAACATTCTAATCCTTACACATAAATCCTTGTTTTTACACCTTCAACACCTTATTCTTATTCTTGTTGTATAATATTGGCTTTTCTTCTTCATATTGTTGCTACATTTCGTTGAATACTTAATCTTCTTGTTGTTATTGTTGCTGTTTACAAAATACAATGGGCTGTTCTTATTGTTGATACTGTTTATAAAAACTGCAACATTATACAGTTTCATTTCATCACTCTACAAGTAACATATCTAATTAATTTATTCAAACTGTAAATGAAACTGCAAAATTACACAGTTTAATCACTACTCAAAACAAATAGATAACTTATTATAAAGTACAAATCAAATTGTCAAATTATACAATTTCGTAACTGTTACCAACAAATAGATATAACTTCATATTAAACTGCATATAAAACTACAAAATTATATAGTTTTGTCACTATATTACTCATATCCTACTGTCGCTTTCATTTTTTCAGAAATAACTATTGGAAGATATTGGAATAAACAAACCCATATGCCCAAAAATCCAATCAGGGATTTAAGTATCTCTCCTTTTGAAAATAATTCTCCTGTATCCACTGAAATGCCACAAACATCGCTCCCTCCACAAAAAACCCAACCACCATAACCAAAAACAACCAAACACCACAGACCCCACCAAAAAACCTACAAAACAACCACACTACCTACAAGAAAAAGCCCAAGAACTACACCACAGACCCCACCGACACAACAAACACTAACCACAGCTCCAACCACAACAAAAACAAACAAAAGAAAGCCAACAAAAAAACAAGAAGCTCCTTCAACCAAAAAAAAGAAAGCTCCAAGAAAGCCAATCAATTGCCAAAACAAAAACCAAGGCATCAAAAGGGAAAAAAACAGTAGTCCCTGCAAAGAGAGTCCAACAGTTTAATTACCGTTCCAACATCGGAACAGTAATCAAACTATTGAAGGGGATCAAATTCACAAAAGCCCAGCAGACAGAGCTGAAAAAAACCCATTTTTGGCCCATTATAAATGCTTTCTCCTCAACACAACTGAAGGCCTCTTGGTGCAGATGCTACAATTCCATTGTAGCAGAAATAACAACACTCTACAACAAAAGAAAAAGAGCATTTATACTTGGCAAAAAGGAAATGAAACTCAGAAACAATGATGTCAAGCTCATTTTTGGTATCGACTGTAGAGAAGACAACATCACCACCAAATCCTATGCAAGACCAAAGGATTTTTAGCTTGCATTTTACAAATGAAGATGCAAATCAGTAAAGAGATTGGATGGCAAGTCTTTGACCAAAATGTTTCAACAAACAAAGAAAGGAAAATCAACCAATGATCGTCAAGATCTTGCAAGGGTCATCACCCTTCACTTGTGCTTGAAACTTCTCATGCCTACAACATGCCATACACTCAGTTAGAGTTTCCTCAATTATGTTGACAATCTTAACAACATCAAGAAGTACAATTGGGTTGAGGCAATAAAAGACACACTGATGAATTCAATGGCAAATGCAAATAACAACCCAAGGCATGTCACTGGATGCGCCATGTTACTCTTGGTAAACACACTACTCAACTACATCACAAAAATATCAAACATCTACCTATTTCTAACTATCTAACATATTTCAATTTTTTTTTACAGTACTGGTACTGTGAGCACAGTAAACTCCTCCGATCATCCATCAAAGAAGGCTTTCCAAGGTTTATGAAATGGAACATTGGCAAAATGTACTCCAAGTGGAAACACATCAGCCTTGCTCACTTTGAAAAAGTATTCAAACTCTTCTATACTATCATAGCACAAATCTATTCAACACTCCTTTCATAGTCATTATAGTAAAAATCATGTTATGAAACTGTCAAATTCTTCAGTTTCAAACAACATAAATTCAACACTTGACTCACATTATTCACAGTACAAATCATATTATGAAACTGTAAAAGTTTGCAGTTTCAAAGCACATACTTATTTAACATCACTCATGTTATGAAACTGTAAAAGTTTACAGTTTAAACGCACAAATCTATTTCACATCACTCATATTATGAAATTGTAAAATTTTTCAGTTTCAAACAACATATATCGACACTTTACCTATATTACTCACAGTACAACTCATCTTATGAAACTGACCAATTTTACAGTATTACTAATATATGCCACATTATTCCAATGCAGGTTGACCAAAATGCTTTAACCCCAGCTAAACAAGAAATACAATTATTGCATATCAATCAAAGCACATCAACAGACTCTTTAGCAAAGAAATATGACCACAAAAAGGACAATAAGCGAAAAAAATAAACAAAAGCAACAAAAAAGAAGACTTCTAGACAGTGATGAGGATGACTTTCTCGAAGAAGAACATCAATCAGAATCAGAATTAGAACAAGAAGAACAACAGAAAAAAGAAAGAAAGAAAAAACCACAAGAAGAACCAGAAAGTGATGAACAAGAAGAAAAGAGTGATGATGAAAAAGAAACTGAAGAAGAAACTGATGAACAATAAGACAATGATGAAACAGAAGAAAGAGAAGAAGCAAAAGGTGATCACCAAGAAGACACTGATGTAGAAGAAGACCAATAACAAAAACAAGAAGAACAATAACCAAACCAACAACAAGAAGTCAATGAACAAGAACTAACAGACCAACAACAACAACATGAAAAAAGAGAACAAGCAAAACAACAAGAAGAACAAAGGACAAAACAACAAGAAGAACTCCAAGAGAAATCTGACATATTTCATGCACAAGGTAAACTCTTGTCTAATACTGAAGCAAACTGAGAAATTTAATTAAACTAACCAAAATACAATCTAACATTTTTATAGGTCATGACCAAGCACAAACATCAACCAAAGAGGACGACAAGGATAAGCTCATATCAGTCATGAGAGCACAAATGCAAGAAATGGAACAAAAATTCACAGTTGAATTGCGTAAAAAAGAAGATCAATTGAAGAAAATGTCCGCCAAAAAAATTGACAGTCCCCAACAAAGATCAATGGTCAAGAGAATCAAACAAAAGTCAAGAAAACAAGCACATGACCCAGATTTTGAATACCAACCAATGACAAAAGCCAAAGAAGATACAAGGAACAAGACACAAACTACTGTTAATGTACCCAAACCAACAGAGGGTACCGATGAAGAAAAAGAGAAGAAGAATGAAAAAAAAAGAAGAAATCGAAACAGAGACAGCACCTGCTACTAAACCCGAGCAAAAAGAGGGTGCTCATGAAGCAAAACAACAGTCGAAAGAAAAGAAGCAAGAAGATATTGGCCAAGAGAAAGAAGTTGCTGCTGAAACCAACCCAAAAGAGGATGCCAATCAAGAGAAAGCACAACTTCAAGTATGGGAAAGTGATGATGATTTCAAGGAAGAATCAATCCAAAACAAGCAACTCGCCATTTCATGCCGCAAAATAAACAAGGTTTGGCATAGCCTATCCAAAAAAGACCAAGACCAAATTCAACTCATCAACAACACACAATCAAGTGCTTGTGTCGTCTGGCAGCGAAGATGAAAATTGCGTATACTTTTCAGATATATGCAGATTGACCAACAGGGAACCCTTATATGGGAATGTAGGTCTCCATTTGCATAATTTTACAGTTTCTATTCATATTCAATAACCTATTCCACAAACCTAACACATTCTCATATATAACATGTTTCAGGTCATTGAGGCCTTCTCAGAAATGACATTGGCACTCCAACCATCCATTGAAGAATTTGAGAAACATGATCTAGCCTTTGCAAGAAATCCATACGTAGGAAGATCTTACGTTTTCTCAACACTCATCAATGTAAACAAAACTTAACATACCTTTCAATATTATTCAAGCTGCAAAATTTTATACTTTCTTAACATGTCTTACTACATAGTTTTATAACATATTTCAAACATCTATATAAATTACAGACTCCACTACAAAACCAAGATCAAGCACTAAGAGAAAAAATGATGGACAGCCATTTTTCAGAAGCAATGAAAAACAGATATGTCCATTTCCCAATCAACCACGACAACCATTGGACAATTGTGGTCTTTGACAATGCTGATGGGATATGGAGGCACTATGACTCTTTGAGACCAGCAAAAGATTGCCACAACAAGCACTTTGAAATTGCAAAGGAAATTGTAAGTTAAATAAAATTTCCTACTTAGTTCCGTTCCTTTCAAAACATCTCAACTCATCACTATAACTAACAAAAACACCCACTAACTATTTTGTAGCAACAACATCAACTGAGATGGAATAAAGCATTATTCAGCAATCAAGGAAACATGTTATCATCTCAAGAGCGCGAGACAGTAATTGCATCAATTGAGGAATGCCCACAACAAACCCCACACTCGTAAGATACAAAATCAATAAACTA